TGGTATCATGAGACTTTGCTGAACTTACTAACAGGTTCTATAAGCTTTTTTTTATTTCTTGGGATTTTATATTTAGACAATTGTGTCATTTACAAAGGGACATTTACTTCTTTGCAAAAGGTACATACTTTCTTTTTCTTGGCTTATTGCACTGGCTGGGACTTCTAGTATGTTGTCGAATAGGAGTGGTGAGAGTAGACATCATTGCCTTGTTCCTGATCTTAAGAGGAAATATTTCAGTCTTTTATTATTAATGATGATATTAACTGTGAGTTTTTGTAGCTGCTTTTCCTATTTGTCAGGTTAAAAAAGTTCTATTCCTAGTTTGCTGAGACGTTTTAAAAATCATGCATGGATGCTGATTTCTGTCAAATGCATACTTTCTGTATCAATTAATGTGATGTGTGATTTTTCTTATTAACATCATTGATTACATTGAATATCAAACCCACCTTCCATTCCCAAGAGAGTCCCTCATTGACTAAGCTGTATCATTCCTTCTGTATATCATTGGATTGGATTTGTTAACCTTGTGTTGAAGATTTTTACACCTATATTTATGAGGGCTATTGTCTACCTTTTTATTTTCTTATATGGTATTTGTCTGGCTTTGATATCAGAGTAATGCTGGCCTCATAAAATGAATGGGGAAGTATTCTTTCCCTTGTATTTTTCTGGAAAAAAAAAGTGTATAGAATTAGTGCTATTTCTATTTTACTTGTTTGGTAGATGTTACTACTTTTCCTAAAGGATTCTCTAAGCTTCAGTCCCCACAGTCTGGAATGAACCCTGTTTGGGGCTTTGAGGGTGGGTAGTTCTCTGCAATCAGAGGTTTCAAAATGCCATTTCTCAGAACTGTGTAAGAAGCAGCAGGGGACTGTAGGCCCCCAGAGCGAACCTATTCAGCCTCCTGCCCTTGCAGAAGTCACTCATTTCGCATCCCAGCCAGTGTCAGGCACAGCTGTAGCTAATTCCCAGTGGGGCAACTTAGTTTAGCCAAGACCTTCTCTGATTTGCCTGAACTATGATAGGCTGTGTGACTTTGGGGGAATCACTCAGCCTCTCTGAGCCTCAGTGGGAAAAAGGAGATGATGATTGTGTCTCCCTCTAAGTCAGTGGTTCTCAACCTTGGCTGCACATTAGAATCACCTGGGAATCTTTTTAAAATCCTGATTTCTGGGCAGAGGCCAGAAAAATTTGAGGCTCCCTGTCCCTCCGCGGGGCCATGATTACATACATTTATCCGTTGGGTGTGTCCTGGTGGCCTACTCGGGGTAAGGCAATTAATAGATGAGGAAAGGTGGTGGGGGAGGGGGGATTAGAGAGGTTGGGAGATGTTCCCCAGGGTAACACAGCCAATGACCGAGCTGGAAGAGAACCCAGGTATTCTGGGTGATTTGTGCTTTTCCACTGAACCAAATTCAGAGGAAGAGACCAGCGGTCCGCCTCTGAGAGGCATGTGGAGAGAGTTAAGAGCCCGGGCCCCAAAGCCAGATGCTGGGCTGGAAGCCCCGCTTAGCCACCGACGTAGCTGGGTAAATGGTCGCGCAGTTCTCCACCTCAGTGCTTCAGGTGCCCTCTGTAAAGTGAGGGTAACGGTGCGCCCACTTCCTCAGGCTATTGCCAGGATTAAATGAGTTACCAACTGCAGAAGGCCCAGAGCATGCCTGGCACATGGGAGAGCCGGGCAAACACCAGGTATTATCGCCGGTAAACATGCCAGGCTGTACGTGCGGCCCTGCAGAGCCACTCACTTACAGAAGGCGGAGGTTATAAATGCTGGCAAAGCTCAGAGGTCCTCCGGCCTGGCCCCTGAGGCGGGGGAACAGTCCAGGCCCAGCCCTGGGAGGGACTGGCCCAAGGTCGTGCAGACCCGAGACCAGCCTTCCTGAGTCCTCGCTCACGGATGACCCGCTGCCTGCCTGCTTTGAGACCCACGCATTTCACGATGTCACGATGCGATGCCCTAGGAGAGAGACAGTGTGTGTGACAGGCAGTGACAAATCCAGGGGGAGGAGAGTTGGGCGCCTTTCCTCCCGGACTACCTTCCTGGGGGAGGTGAGCTTGCTGGAACCTCCCAATTGAGAGTTAGGAGGAGCAGCAGCCCACCTTGTGTCTCCTGCCGATGCCACGCCTCCCCGTAGGGACTCAGCATGTCTGGGCCCGCCACTCCTTGCACCCCACGCTGCCGCAAAGGAGGGTGCTGAGCCTTGCTGGGGATGAGATCACCGCCTGGAGCAGTCTTCCTGCGTGGCTTAGGCTCCGGCGCCACCTTGTGGCCATAGGCCTGCACGGTCTTTGCACAGGGGCTGGTGCCCCAGAGGTCACTTAGACCCACTCTGAATTTTACACATACCTCTCAGTTGTCCACCGGGGACGCAAAGACAGCGGTTCTCAACCTGTGGGTCGCGATCCCTTTGGTGGTCGAACGACCCTTTCACAGGGGTCGCCTAAGACCATCCTGTATATCAGATATTTACATTACGATTCATAACAGTAGCAACATGACAATTATGAAGTAGCAACGAAAATAATGTTATGGTTGGGTCACAACATGAGGAACTGTATTTAAAGGGCCAGAAGGTTGAGGACCACTGACTTAAGAGAAGATGAGTTTTCAGGAGCCAGAAGGGGCAGAATAAGTAGAAGGCACTTGATCAGGAAATTCTAGACTGGACTCCAGGGTGGGAGGCTGTGTAAGCATGATTTCCAAATTAGGTTTCAGACTGATGCAATCTGGGCTCCCAACATCCCTTTGCTCATCAGCACTGGGGAGAGAAGCTCTGGTTTCTCCCACTCACACCCTTATTTATTTGCATACATTCCCCTGGATGCTCGCACAGAGGGAATTTGAGTTTGTTTCTCTGGTAGGCATTCTCATTGAGTCAGCATGTTCTGGGCTCATTGCCGTCCATTGCCCTCGCCAAGATGGGCAGAGGGGCTGGTAACTTGGGGCAAATGGGAGCTGGAGTGACAGGTCAGGGGCTGCTTTTGCCCTGGGAGGGCCGACCTAGGTGAATCTGAATGTTGCTGTTACTTGACCTGGGACCTGCCTACATAGGCTTGGCTGCCACATCATCATTTCTCCACCATGGTCCAGTTTTTGAGGCTAGGAGAGGAAGAGTCTGTGGTCTGAGAGTACCCCTGAGAGAGCATAGATCTGTGGTCTGGTCCCTGTGGGAGTCTGTGGCCCTTGGCATTGGGTATTGCAGGTGCTCATGTAGGTGGAGCTGAGTGTTGGATCACAGAAACCACATCTGACCTGTGAGGCCACAGGCACCAAGCCTCCGCGGGCACATGGCTGTGCTGGGTGCTGGTGCAGAACTTCTGGACTCGCAGCTCTGCCTCAGCCCCTCAGCCAGTACCTCCTTGTCCCTCCGCCCCCGCTCTGCCTTCCCAAGCCACCCTCAGATCTGCTCAATCTGACCCTTCCCTCCACCCTTGATGCAGTCTGACGTCCTCAGCTCCTTGTGACCTGTCTCCGTAACACCTGCCCGCCCTGCCCAGGTTTATTGTTGCCATCGCCTCTTCCAGTTGACCCTCTCCTTCAGGCCCCCACATTTTGGCACTGCTTTCCTCTCCTTTCCCACTTTCTCGTTCTTCCCCACATCCCTCTCTCTGTCTCTTTCTATGTCCCTTTCCATCTCTCTTTTTGCCTCTGCCTCTCTCCCTCTCTCTCTCTCTCTCTCTCTCTCTCTCTCTCTCTCTCTCTCTCTGCCCTGGGCAGGCACAGTAACCTCCGTGCCCTTTTCTGAGCCTCTTCCCTGCTCCCTTGATTTTGGGAACTTAGCAACTGAGGCCGAGAGAGAGGCCATGGCTCATGCGAAGTGCCACCGCTAGGAAGTGGCAGAACTTGGAACAGAACCAGAATGCGGTGCTTCATGTCACTCCCCAGCCTCAGTTCCCTGATGTGCTGAATGATAACCAGCCGGTCCCACAAGGCCTGGCAGGGACTCCGGAGGTGATGGGCCCAGAAACACCTGCCCTGGGCCTGGTGCACCTGCCCTTCTCCCAGCCCCTCCCCGGGCGCCCACTGCAGTCGTCCTCCCAGTGCCTGCACCTCCTGCCTCCCTGCCTTTGGTTTCCTGCAGACCTGTTTCTCCACGCACTCCTGGGAGTGTGTCTGCAGGGAAACAGGTGTCTGCCCCAGCTCCCCTGTGTGCGCCTTCAGAGATGCTGCGCCCGAGGGCTCTCAGGAATCCAGAAAGACAGACCGCCCATAGGTGTTGGGTGGGCGCCCATTGCCTGCGTGCTGGTTGTAGGCTTGGAGGGTTGCTTTGAGTTCCGAAGCGCATCCTGGGGGACCCCGGGGCACTGGGTCATCGTGGGGTCCAGTCCCTGGTTAGCTCTGGAGGGAGGCCCACCGTTTGGAAGTGGAGAGGAGCGTCCCTCGCAGTTTTAAATTATTTTACAAATGTCTGGTCGTGCGTCTTCGCCTCTGAAGCATGGGCTTCAGTAACATCGACGCAAGGTTCTTGGACAGCACCATCTCCCATTGCTCCCAGGGAAATACACAGCCCCTCTCAGCCACCAGCATTATGATCCCTCATAAGTTTGCTGCAAATGTGAGCATGGGCTGCCTCCGCTGTATGGTGACAGAGTGGTCCCACCAGGCTTCCTCAGTCTTCCTTCTGTATCTGTAGGCGCTGGGGACAGGGCATGGACAGGCAGGCTCATGTGCTCCTTGGAAAGGTGGGATAGAGGATGGGAGGGGAGGCTGGAGGGGCAGGCAGGGTCCCGTGAGCCAAGGGAGGAGCTGAGGGTTTGATTCTAAGCATTACAGGGGGTGACCTGATTGCATTTACGATCTGCAAGGAGCACTGTGTGAAGAGCAATGTTTCTGGGGCCAGAATTGGTGCTGGGATACCAGTGAGGACTTCACTTCGATTCAGGCAGGAGGGATAGTGGTGGGGACCAGACGGGTGGTGATGATGGGACAGAGAGAAGGGACAAGCCCACGGCCACAGGTGGGCACTGGCAATGCTCAGGCAGTGGGGACGATGCCAGGCATCAACCGTGTTCACAGCCTCAACGATTCAGGCTTGGCTGTGTAGGAGGCCCAATGATTACATTCCCTGCGATGGTCAGGGACCCATGTGTGGCTCCATCCAATTGGCTGTGGGCCCTGGTTTGTGGTTCGTGATCTTGATCCTGATTGGGCCACAAAACCATGCTTTCTGAAGCTGCTTTTTCCTGGCCCGGCCTCCGAGACCACTGGCCGACTTATTCCTTGGATATCCGCCCCCCCTCCCCGCCCCGCCCCTCTGCCCCCGGTGACTGTGGCTTGGAGACAGCTCCCAAAGTTTCAGGTAAAAGTGAGGCAGGGAGTTTTCTTACTGGACCCAGGATGTGCGCCCACCATCTTTATCTCCTTAACCACCCCCAAGTTCGACTCTTTTCCCATGTTAAAGAAGAGTAGCAAGACACAGAGTTGGAGTGATAGTCCAGGGTCCCATTAGCAAGCAACCAAGTTGGGGCTTGAACCTGCATCCTTTGCCCATGTCCTCTCCAATGGAGGGGTCAGTGCGTCTGTCTGCCTGTGCCCTGGCCACACCTGGACACAGCCTCAGGGTCTCCCTAGTGTGGAGGACACACGAGCTTTGCTGTCCAATGGCCTGGGGCCGACGCCAAGTTACTTCACCCGCCGACTGTGGGTCCCTGCCTGTTCCCACTCTGTGCTGTGTGGGGATTTCACCTGCCGATGGCCTGTGCCCTGCCATGGTACTGAGTAGGAGCTCCACAAATGCCACCCAAAGCCTTAGCACCATGTCCATGTCCGTGTCCGTGGGCTCAGAAGACCCCTAGAGCTGGGTCAAGTGTCTGGAAAACCTCAGAGCGAAGGAGAGACACCAACATAGTTGGCTCTGGTTTTGGGGGGCAGCATGGCCCTTCCAGAGTCCCACCCCCACCCACACTCTCTGTTCTGTTCATCTCTCTCGGCAGGTATATCCGCACCATGTATCTGGGGATCCAGAGCCAACGGCAGAAGGAACACCAGCGACGCTTCTACTGGGCTATGATGTATGAATATGCAGACGTCAACATGTTGCGCCTCCTGGAGACCTTCCTGGAGAGCGCCCCCCAACTGGTGCTACAGCTCTGCATAATGATCCAGGAGAACAGCGCCGAGACGCTGCCCTGTGAGTGCCCCGCCCCCAGAGCCGGAACCGTGGGCTGGGGCAGACCCCCATCCCATCTGGGGACCCCCTGGTGGCCATTTCCTATACACTCCGTGTCCCACAGACTCTGTGGGTGTCGCCCATTCTGATCCCTGAGTCCCTGGGATGCCCAGGCCCCCATGGGATGCTGACCCGACCCACATCAAATGCCTGAGTGGCACAGACCTTTCCCAAACACCTTTGCCCACCGCCCACGCCACTTTGTTGTAATGAGTAGAGCAGAGCCGGGGCCTCTCATGTCCCTGGAGCAGCAGAGGGAGGGCCCTGGTCCCCTTGGGCCATGCCTTCAGTGCTGGCCTGAGCTGTGTCCCTACATATGCAGGATGGGGAGCTGCCCAGAGACGGCTCGTGACGAAAAGACTAACTCTCCGCAGGCAGCGGTTTCAGACATTGTGAGGCTGTGGCTATTGCTTCAAATCAAAGCTCACGTAGAAGCCCCATTTATAAAACAGGCTCCGGTGGCTCTGTTCTAGTTAGATGGGGGCCAGGGCCCGGCACACTCCGACCCCTGGCCTTCTCTCCGGTCCCGGCCCCTGTGGCCCCAGGTGGTCTCCCAGGAGACCCGGGAGCCCCCAGCGCCCAGCCTGGACGGCACTGGTCGCCATGGCAGCAGGAAGTCTGAGGCCTGGTGAGGTGAGGCTTCCCCGGACAAGGGGGAGTCTCACCCCAGGTCTCGATGGTCAGACCGGCCTTGCTCCCCCATTGAGGGAGTCCTCGTGGGCCCTGGTGACAGCATGAGGTGCCCGGGCAGGCGTCCTTCCTGCTCATGAAGCCTCCACACCCACGGCCCCGAGCTCCCCAGGCCAGGGTGACATGCTCCAGGGGGCACATTGGCTGGGGGCTGGGCCGGGCCCCTTTCTTTCCCATCCGGGTCCTCCTTTTTCCAACCCTGTTTCAGTCTGAGACCGGCCCCCTCCCCCCCAATCCAAAATGCCCTTTGCTGTTTCAGTTTCAAATCTCCTTCCCCTACCCCACAGCCCAGGCAGCCAAGATGTCCTTCCAATGTTTGATCACATCCCAGCACCACAAATAGACAGGGCAGATGGCAGGGTGACGCAGGGGTGAGCTCCCAACAGGGCATTGGTCCCAGCCGGGGTCCTGGTCACCATGTGGACCCTGCAGTGACGTTGGAGATGGCCCTTCACCTTTCTGAGGCCTCCTTTCCTCTTTGGAATGAGCCAGAGGGTCGGGGGGCAGTCATCCCGGATGTTTAGGGGATGCAGTGATGTAATGCCCGTGGATCACTTTGAAACAGTCAGACTCCGCAGGAACCTTGGGGGTGTGCTTGTCACATCCAGGCCTGGCAGTGAGCGGCTGGGCAAGGTCCTAGGGAGTCCCACCCCACCTGTGGGCCATCCCTGCTGAGCGTGTCCTTTCTATGATAGTTTCTCAGACTATGAGCCTGGGCTGCACCTGAAATCCTGGAGAGGAAGCTCAAGGGACAGCAGATGTTGCTTCCTCTTGACCTGGGAGCCCAGTGGGGCCAAGGTCAGTGAAGATCAAGGGGCTGCTTGGCAGTGTGCCCCCAGCAGGGACCAGGGTGAGGAGCTGGAGTGGCAGGGTCGCGGGCTCTGGGGAACTCCCTGGCCCTTCACCCCATGCGCCCCTGCAGCTCAGAGGTCGGGTGAGCATTCGCCCACATTCGTTTGGTGTATGGAATAGGTATTTCTTGAAATAGTCTTTCGTGGCTCAATACATTTGGGAGCCACTGGCTAAACAAAGGTCAGGGCCTGTCTTTGCTGTTGGTTGTAAACCCCCAAACAGGGGGGATGGGGTCTGTGACATAAGCAGCGTTGATGGGAAGGAAGGAGCCGGGCACAGACGCGAGGGGCTTGGCGTTTTGCTCGTCCATCACTACCAGCCGTCTGTCATCACCGCACCATTTCGTTATGATAACAGGTGCCTTCCCTCTCTTTCCCCATTGGAGGCTGCATAGCATGTACGTGCTTTAAAGAAAATCAGTTCAAGCATTAGAAATTGGAGGAGGGGAGAGAATGTTGTGAACTTGAGAGGGACCCAATGGCCACACAGAAGGAATCTCCCAGCCCAGACACCTGGGAGCTCGGTGCGCGGCCCACTGGACAGGTGGCCAGCTCCCGCCCTGCTGCCCGATCACTGCCGGGCTCTGGGGAGGGATGGCCTTTCTGTTCCTTAGTTTCATCGTTTCTGAAATGAGGGTGATGTTAGCACCTACACAGAGGGCTGTTGTGAGCATTTAATGACATGGCAAGTGTCAGTGCCTCGTACGACATCTGGCTGTTTTGCTGTTGGTGGCAGTAGAGCTCGTACTGTAGACACACTGTGTGAACTGGACTGCAGCTTTGCCAGCAGGACCCATGCTGACTGGCCTTGCTTTCGTTGGCCTTTGGGGACACCTGTCCACCTTGTGCCGCTCATGCTAGTAGATGGTTAGAAAAATCACTATCACCTAGCAGGGGGTTTTCTGTTGATCTTGTCCAATGCCAGCCTCTCTAACGTTTGCCGTCTCTCCACCTTCTAGTCCTCACTTATTGCTGGCTTAACAGTGCAATAGTCAAGCCTGCAATGTGGATTGTGTCCAGTTTTCCCATAAATCAGACTCAAGTGAAAAACCCTATATAATAAAAGCCTAATATGCAATGTGCCAGGTTGTCCATTCAACCAATCAAAGTGTAATATGCTAATGATATGCTAAGGCAGTTCAACTGGTTGCTATGATGTGCACTGACCACCAGGGGGCAGACACTCAATGTAGGGTCTGCCCCCTGGTGGTCAAGTGAGCTCCCACAGGGGATGCGCTGCTCAGCCAGAAGCCGGGCACATGGCTAGCAAGAGCAGCAGCAGTGGTGGGAGCCTCTCCGCCTCCATGGTAGTGCTACTTCATAACTGTAATGTTGCTACTGTTATGAATCGTAATGTAAATATCTGATATACAGGATGGTCTTAGGCGACCCTGTGAAAGGGCTGTTCGACCGCCAAAGGGGTCGCAACCCACAGGTTGAGAACCCCTGGCTTAGACCCACTCCCCAGACATCACCCGAGGGCTCCCAGACTGCGAGAGGGTGCAGGCCAGGCTGAGGGCACCCCCCCCCAAGTGCACAAATTTGTGCACCAGGCCTCTAGTATAATAACAATAATGATAATGACCCATACAAATATTATGCTAGAGTCATTTGGGCATTTCAGCGGGGTCTTCCTTAAATCTGATGTCTTGGAATAAAGATAAAAATAGAGCAATAAAGGGAACATATACTAATGCACCATTTACACTGGTATGAGTCTCATGTCTGCTGGCAGCTCTGTCCTGGGCTAGACCCGGGCTTGGAAGGATGTCCGGAACTGTGGGCAGTCAGGCAGAGCCGCAGGCGAAGTCCACCTTGGCCATTTACCGACTTATGACACGGGGCAAGTTAACTTCCCAACTGGGTGTCTTCATGCGTGAAGTGGGCATAGTAACTGCTTTGGGAAGTATTGTAGAGGTCTCATGAGCTGCACATTTGCCTCTCCAGTACCTTGCCTGGCATATTATGGGTAGTTATGCAGTCTCTCATTCAACAAAGATGCATTAGATCAGGTGCCCTAAACATGCCATGGGCAACACAGAGCATGACAGACGTGGTCCATGCCCTCATGCATCTCCAATCTCTGGGGAGACAGAATGAAAACAATTAGAAAGAGGACATGTGGTAACTGCTTTGGAGCAGACAAATATGGTACTGAGACTGAAGGACACAGGGCGGGGCTCAGGGAAAGCCTCTCCAGACAGCTGGCATCTGAGCTGTGTGTCAATGAGGAGCCAAATCTAGGAAGAGAAGAAGAAGCAGCCTTCCAGGCAAAGGGAACAGCACATACAAAGGTCCTGAGGTAGAAAAAGCCCGGCTTGTTCTAAAAAATGTAAGGACCCAGCATGGCTGGAGGTGGGCAGTAGGGACGAGCTAGGGAGGAGAGAGGCAGGGGAGGACAGAGGGGCAGGCAGGAGCCTGGCCAGCCTGGGCGGGCTGAGCCCAGCAAGGAGCTCGGGTTTAAACCAAGCGCAGTGGGAAGGCTTACAAAGGAAAGCTATACAATCAGATTTGCTTTTAGAGAAGATTCCCTGTCCTGCTGTGCAGAGGGCAGAGCTGAGGCTGAGCTGGGAGGACCAGCTTAGCAGCTGCTGCTGCTGCTGCTGCTGGTGGAGGAGGTCCAGGCATGAGATGATGGGGTTGAGCGTTTCTGGGAAATGATGCTGGATGTGCAGATTTGATTGCGGCTCTGAAGAGTGAGTCAACAAGACTTAGCAGGGCTGGTGTGGGCCGTGAGAGAAGTGTGCATGCGGGGGTTTCTAACTGGCGTGTTGAGGTGGAGGAGGGGGAATCGGCAGGAGCACGAATAAAGGGTTAAGAGCTCTGTGACCTTTCCTTACTTTGGGGTTTCCTGATTCTTCCACTGAACATTGAGGGTGGGAGGGGAGGGGCACTCACTGCACCTACATAGCACCCAATTCTGCCTTTTTTGGTTAAGCCCACACTGAGTAGTTGCCCTACATGTGGGCTCCAATGACCACCTTCCCCTGGCATCACAGTACCACCATTTGTCAAGCACCTGCCATGGGCCTGATGTTGTGTTAGGAAGGGGTTTGCAAAGACGTCCCCTTCGGCAGTTTACGGTCTGGTGCAGCACATGTTAAATGTTTTGATGACTGTATGTACAGAGGAGGGAGTGACTGTTCCTGGGGGTGTGATGGAGGAGGTGACATTTGATCTGGGTTCTGATGGAGGAATAGGAGCTTTCCTGAAAGAGAAGGTTGGGAGGCTCTTCTGGCAGTGGAACCACAAGTGCCAAGGGACGGAGGCCTGAGAGAGCATGGAGTGGGCAAGGAGTGAATGCTTCTAGGTGCCTAGAGCACAGGGCATATTGCACTGAGTGTGGAAACCATGATGATGATGATGATGATGATGATGATGACAAAGACGATGATACTAGTAATGTTAGTTAAGACTTCT